AGTTCCAGCTGCAGCAAATTTTTGTTGAAAATTGGCCTCAACTATGCGAACAGGACTTATTTGATTTAAAGCTGACCCAAGCTTTCTCATTCCATTGTTAGAAAGTCCAATGTTTTGCTGAATATTAATCATATCTTGTGTTGTCAATGGCTCTGAGGAGAGACCCTGAGTTGCATTTGATCCTGTGAATAAAGAAACAAATAAGAAAAAAACCAATATTAAAAAGCAAACCCAGCAACAATACTTTAACATACCTGGTCTGATTTCAAGAGGCTTTCCATGAAACCGGCTAATCAGAATAGTTCCATTGGAAGATACCTCTTTGGAAGAAACGATGAATGATGCAATTTGCTCTGCCCCTAACGGATCTGCCAAAGCCAGAGCTTTCAAGTTTTCACGACGTGTTGCTTCTTTGCAGTTATGAGGCAGTCCTCGAGCAATGACAGATAGGCATTTTGTGCATCGTTTTTCAAAAGATTTTTCTTCTTTTTGCACTTCTTGCTGAGATGGTTTTTCAAAGGGGTGCTTTCCTTTCCCTTTGGTTTTTGAAATTTGACAAATGATGCAATCACATTTAGTTGTCTGGCGAGTTGATGGTTTGATCAATATGGATTCGAAGTCATAAAGTTGAGGTATACTCACTTCTTCATCTCCAGAAGCTAACTTTCTAAGCAGGAACCTACAGGTGACACAGATCCCTCGTGGAACCCTCTCATCATCAAAGTTGATGTTGCCAGAAATCAATCTTTTGATTTCACTGATGAAATATTCTGAAATTTCTCTGTCACTTTTTTTCATACAAAGTGTGCAAACGACCTGCCGACATTGATTATGATCCTTTGAAAAAGTAGGCATTTCAAAATCTGAGATGAACTTGTGATCTGTTTGAAGATATCATTTAAACTAATTCATAAAGTACAAAGAGGTCATAAAACGTATGAAAATGTACTAAAAGTACAAAAAGTCCGTAAAATTGGAAATGTCCGAAGAGTACAAATTTTAGGAAAGTACAAATTTACGGCAATTCACGTATCAAATTTTTCATCGTAATTCGCGATTCAAAAATTAATCGATTCAAAACTTGAAATGGAAATATCTCCCTTTATAGCTCATTTCTCAAAAAAATTTATTAAATACGAAATCTTTACAAATTAATTGTCTAAAAAAGTTATTTTATTAAAAAAATCACTACGACCCACCCCAATACCGCTATTTTCAAAAACAAAAACTGCTAATGTTTTTATATTATTTCAAAAATTTAAATCAAAATATCTCTCTCGGATTTTAATTTTGGATTTCAAAGTAAGTTGATATAGTACTCTTGACATGTGTAGTTTCATACCCTAAGAGGATTTTTTCGGGATGTTTCGTAACCAAAAAAGTCAAAATTTTCAAACGGTGAGCTGTTAGACATCAGTGTATGAATGTTGGCATTTCTATGGTTGCATTTCTATGGTTTAAAAAGTCATTTCTTTCCGGAAAATTTGAATTTTTATAAATGTACGTGAATTTGTTTACTCTTACATTATAAAAAAGCTCTTGTTTTTTAACTAAAGTTTTTTTTTTGGTTTTTACAGAAGTTTCATTGGCTTTGACCCAAGTTAATTTTTATGGTTTTAACAGAGCTTTTTGTACTCTTGGACCTATTTGCTCCAAAATAGGAAAACTTGCCCTGTGTATTTTTACATGTTTTCCTAATATTTATAAATATAAATGAATTTTTTCATTCTGACAGTTTGAAAAAGCTTTTTTTTTTTTTTAACTAAAATTAACTTTTATTGTTTTTACAAAGCTTTGATTGTTTTTGGCCCAATTGCCTTAATTAGGGGAAACAAGCCCTGAGATTTTAACATATTTTCTTGATTTTTATAAATGTAAATGAATATGTTCACTCTGACAGTTCGAAAAAGCTCTTTTTCTTTAACCAAAGTTAATTTTTACGACTATAACAAAGCTTTTATATCTTTTGACCCAATTGCCCTAAATGGGGCAAACGAGCACTGGGATCCTTATCTGGGGGCCCTTTATATGAGTATAATAGTTTGTAGAATTGAATGCTTTGATTCTTTAGTAAAAAAAAGAAATCAATAAAGATAATTTAGCATAAGTACTTCAATGAAACTCTTTCTCATAGATGGTATTTGTAAAATAAATCTAATATCAATATTTGGTGCCATAAATCCTGAAAGAAAACTCTTGACGCAAAATAAGCGTTATTGAGCCCAATATAAATTGTCATAACTTAAGAACCAGTTATCCAAATTTGAAAAACAAAATCATTCTAAAAACATCTTCATTGTCTGTGTACTTAGATATTAAATTATAACCAGAGATAATGATAATAGTAAAATCGTGTGAGGTACCTACTAATTATTGTTAGAAATGTTTAAATGGTACAATTATTGCATTTTCAAAAAATATTGGTAATCTCATTTGCAAAACACTATTAGGTATTGGTAATAAAGAAAAAGTGATATACAGAAAGGTAATATCATAACTAAACAATGTTACATGTATTGTAATATTAAAATTTAAAATCTAGTGTTGTATAAAATGTTTAATTTTAGGTTTAATTTTAGGTTTTTTAATTGTAAAGTGGTTTTTCATTTATTAGATAGATAAGGACTACAATGCTTTATGGTCTTCGATTAGTAGTACAATTAATAGCTACGGTTAATTATTAATAACTGTGATTATTAGATCAATTTCAACATATATTTTGGAACAATAATGTTGTATTCTGAAATTTTTGTGGAGTATTTATGGCAGATTTCACTAAAATGTAACATAGATTGTGATATAGATTCTATATAATATAGATTGTAAAAATCATTGTCTTTTTTGTCGCGATATACACTTTAAAGGGCTTCATAATCCTGTTCTTCCAGTAGTCCTACCGGTAATATATTCAATATAAATTTACATTGTACTTATTATTCTGGCAAAAAAAAAAAAAAGAAGAAATCTAAGAAAACCTAAAAAAAAGAAACCTAAGAAATCTTCGTCGTTTTATGTAAATTCACTGCGTTTATCTCAAGAAAATAATCAGTGTATGAAAAAATTTTTTTTCATAGTAAATATATACATTCCGTAAGTTACAAACAATACATACAGTTAGCATGGTTAAAAAGGAGACATTGTATATCATATCGCTTCTTCCCTAAAGAGTTTTCGAAAATATTAGGTTAAAGTAATAAAATAAGAAAGTTTGAACACTAAAAACAAATGAAAGAAAATTTAGAATACAGTGTTAAAATAATAAAAACAATTATACATTATTAAAATAAAAGTAAGCGCTATTGATTTAAGCGTATTCTTGTAAAACTGATTATACATTGAAATTCTTTTCATTTATAATTGAAAAATCATACATTTATGTATTAACGCAAAAAAAAAAAAAAAAAAAAAAAAAAATTAAAAAGCAACCAAGCACTTCAACTTAAAAACTTTAACTATTGGTTGTAAAATCGAATATACATGGAAATATACTTTTCATAAATGATTTAATAATTATAAGTTTATATAACACAACCTCAGATATAGGTTTGCAGTAAATCGTTCATTCTCAGCCTTAATTTTGTCTTAAATTTATTAAACATTCCATACTTTCGGTCATCTAATTAAAAATTGAGATTTTAATTCTGATTTTTTTTGAAAAAAAACTTGAATATTGTAGGAATGATACTTTTTTTAATTTTAAACATAAAAATTAGAAAATGATAAATATTTATTAGGCAGATATTCAGTACTATCAACACTGCACTAAACTCCAAATATCAGTCAATATACGAGCACTAGTTTTAGCAATAACCATAAGGACTTTTTTTTTGTTAAAAGACTGCCTGTCTAAGCTAAAATCTTTAATTGACACATGTACACACTGCCAAAAATCGGGAACTTAGACATTCTTTTTGTCTGTGGTAAATTGCTAACTAGCCGACCTAACCACCGTGGTAATTCCGAACCCGAAACAACAACATTTGTACTCGGTAAAAGTTAAACAAGAGCAACCGCTATGGAAAAAAATTCTCGTTTAAATATATATACATATGTATATATATATATATATATATATATATATATATATATATATATATATATATATATATATATATATATATATATATATATATATATATATATATATATATATATATATATATATATATATATATATATATATATATATATATATATATATATATAATATATAAAATATGATTTAGGAAAGCAATTTACTTTAGTTTTTTCTTTTTTCAGAGTTCGCAATACATATTTAAATAAACTGGATTTTTTTCAGAGTTTGTAATTTTTTTTTTTTTTTTTGAACTAATTAAAGATGTAAGTTTAAACTCTTTTAACACCAAATGTACTAAAAAATGCGTTTTCTATTAAACAATATAGCTTTGATCAAATGATAAAGAATAAAAATACTTTTTAAATAAAGTTTCTATAATATATATATATATATATATATATATATATATATATATATATATATATATATATATATATATATTAATATTTCATTTTTTTTGTAATAGCTAATGTAATCGGCTTTTTTAATAATATTGTAGTAAATGGTGATACAAATATATATGTATATATATATATATATATATATATATATATATATATATATATATATATATATATATATATATATATATATAATAACAAAGAGTAATGTAGTTCCACTACTTTGCTGCAGCAGGATATAAAATAGTTGATGTATGTGCTGAAGCCCCTGGCAGCAGGCGATTTCAGTGTAACGTCAAAGTGCTCATTTTAACACACATTCATAGTTGATTTATAAGAGGGTCTCATCATCAGACTATCTAGTCTGATGAGACCCTCAAAGTAGTCTGGAAATATTACTAATGAATAAATAATATAGTCTTTTTGAATGTCCAATTATACCAATTATACTATTTTTATTTATTATTTTAAACATTTTTATATGATAAACTAGCAATCTTTGTAAGCCATTTTTTTATGAATATAATATAGAAGTATGCCATGTCTTTAGCACCAAGACAAAGTATAACACAAGTTTTACCTTTAAAATTATTCAAATTTGTTGACAAGAAATCACCTTCCCTATCTTCACAAGTGTATGAACAAGTTCCATTAAATTTACCATTACCATCTATTGGTGACAAATCTATTTTAACTCTAAACTGCCAGAACTTTGTTTCAAATAGTTTAGCAGATAATTTGATGGAAGATACAGATAATATAAAATGCACAACAGATCAACTGAATGTACATAAAGAAGATAAAGATTGCAATATTACATTTTTTCAAAGTTCATCTCCAATGCAAGATAGCACTATTGATTCTTTTAGTTGTAAACTTACTGACAAACAAATACAACCAATTAAAACAAATGCCTTATCATCATCCAATAGTATTATTGAATCAAACACTCGTGATTTTAGTGAGCAGGTTGCTGTTTATGTTCCAAGAGGTTGGAACAGAGTTACAGAGAAAGGTCTTATAAACTATATAAGGTGATTGTTCGTTTGTTATTGAAAAAATGTTACAATCATGATTTTGTTTAGTTTAATTTTCTTTTAGTCCGAACAAAAGCCGAATAACATGTCTTGAAGATATGCTATTTTATCTGCAATATGATGGAACTTGTAAGTGTGGTTTAAAATGTCCATTGCAACCAGAAAAGGCATTTAATTTTGATCCAAATGTTATGAGTAGATTCAGTGATGAATATGATGGTAACAATTTAGAACCAGATTGTGTTGTATGTAAAAATTTTGAAGAACTCTATCCACCAGCTTGTAAAGTAAGAAATGAAGGAAGAGGACGCAAACCAGGTATTTTTCATGTTGGGTTTTTATAACTAATATCAGAAATCTAGGACTCATGATATCTAGTTAAAATGGTTAAATTATTTGAGTTCTAGCTATAACCAGGCCTCACTGGGAAGCAAGAGCTTTAGCTCTTGCCCACACTCCCCTAAAACAGTTTCTGGGAGCAATTTACGGTTCCCGCAAAAGTATAATTTTTCTCTCAAAACTGTAATTATCATTGTAACTAAAATGAAAAACACAAAGTCATTTTTATATATATAAAAAAAATTAGTTGCATAATGTTTTTTAAAAGGCACGGTTGTTGCAAAAAAAAAAAAAAAAAAAAAATTAAAAAAGAGCACCGATTAAATGCAACTGTTTTCGATTACAAAGGACTATTTGATAAATATAAAGTTTAAATTTAAAATAAAATTAAGAAAAATCTAAATGATATTGATAAAATATAAAATTGTTTATCTGATAAAATATAAAATTATTACACTCTAAATTATTGCTTAAAAGTTAACTACAGTAAAGTAACCTCCTCAGCTGTAGTGGCTCACTTGGCCCTAGGAAGGAATATATATATATATATATATATATATATATATATATATATATATATATATATATATATATATATATATATATATATATATATATATATATATATATATATATATATTAGAGATACTACAAATATTTGGTGACTTTTCGGATACTTTTTTTACTATTCAGTATTTGGTCGAATATTGCAAACTATTCTGCCAAATACCAAATACCAGATTGTAGTGAAAAAAAAGCACTTCCACTGGCAAATAAAAAGAAAAGGTTATCAAATTTTAATAAGATAATGTTTTGCATTTTGTGACCACAGCTAGTAAGGGTTTGTTCAAAAAAACTTACAAACATTGGTATATGTGCGAATAAGTAGCAAAAAACTTGCAAACATTGGCATAGGTGGCATAAGTGTGAATCAGTTGTAAAAACTGGCATATATGAGTCAAAAGAATTTGAAAACATTGGCATAAGATTTGTACGTATGCCAACTTGCACTTATGCTAATTCAGGTCAGGTCAGGTCAGGTTTTCCTGCTACTGGTAACATGTAACCCAGTACAACCTGCTCCATGTCCTGCTGCCTTGCAGGATACGCTTTTTTAGGCAAAGGCTAGGAGAAGTTAACTCCGAATTAAAACACCCCCTGCCTTGGGGCTCTTGGTTGAGTAAAGGCTAGAGATGGTGTCTCGATAAAAATACTCATCTTGGGCAGATGTTACATGCATCCAGCTGCTGTCTTGTAGAAGGCCTCCTGGGCAAAGACTTAAGGGGTAAACAGATTCTATCTGTTGACCAGCCTCGCACCCCTTCCTCATCTATTAGGCTGGCGCAGATGTATTTTTAATACATTGTTTCCAGTTTAGGATGTTGAATGCTGGATCTTCTTGACTCAATGCGTGGGTATTGCTTGTGTCTCTATTTTTATGACTGGGCAACTCATTCTATTATCTCCTTATGAGGGTACAGCTCTAAAACTCAGTTTTATGGTTCTGAGGCCGGCTGGTAGTCAGGTTTCCCGAACTCTGTGGTAGCTCTCAGAGAGGCTGATTCCATCAACAGCCGAAAAATATCAGAGTACTAACAGTGCCATGTTGCGCATGGATGGTGTCCCTGTTTGTACTTTTGGTGTGCATTGCAGAGGCCACATTTGGAGCCCTTTGTTACGGCTTAGGGTTTATTAATAGTAATGAGGCTATTGCTTAGTTGTTAAATAGTGTACTGAGTACTATCTATACTTGAGTCAAGTTCTTTATAAATTTAAATTGACTAAAGTACCTAAAACTAAAAAACACAAAAAACCATCGTCATCACCAAGTTCTCTAAACCTATCATTTACTAATATTCGTGGTCTTCGAAGTAACTTTTCTTCTGTTGAGTCTTATCTCTTGCAAAGTTCACCAGACCTACTTGCTCTTTGTGAGACTAATTTGAGTTCGGCTGTCCCATCTTGTGATCTTAGTGTTGATGGTTATCTTCCTTTAATTCGTAAAGACTCCAATAATCACATGCTTGGTCTGGGCATCTACATTCGTAAGAACTCACCCATTTGTCCTGAAACTAGGTTTGAATCTACAGACTATTCATTTATGTGCTTTCGTTTAGCTCAACTTCACTCTATCGCCTTTCTCTTTGTTCTATATCGCTCTCCTTCATCCCAAGATTGCACTATTGTTATTTCTGATCAAATTGACCAAGCCCTCTCTCTTTATCCATCGGCCAATATCGTCGTTGTTGGTGACTTTAATGCCCATCACACCGATTGGCTTGGCTCTAGTGTCAGTGACTCTGCTGGCGTTAAGGCCCTCAACTTTTGCCTTTCTCAATCTCTAACTCAAATAGTCAACTTTCCAACTCGTTTTCCAGACAACCCTAATCATTTACCTTCTCTACTCGACTTATGTCTTGTTTTGGATCCTATTCAGTGCTCAATTTCTCCACATTCACCCTTAGGTACTTCTGATCACGGTTTGATCTCTCTAAAACTATTATCAAATTCTTCTACTTCATCAGAATCCCCCTATCATCGTACCACATACAACTACCTTAAAGCTGACTGGGACTCTTTCCGTGATTTTCTTCGTGATGGCCCTTGGGTAGAAATCTTTCGTCTTCCTGCTGACAAATGTGCTTCTTACATAACTTCGTGGATTCAGGCTGGCATGGAATCTTTTATTCCCTCTCGACGATTCCAGGTCAAGCCTCACTCTTCTCCTTGGTTTTCCTCACATTGCGCTGCAGCAATTTCTAATCGAAACTGTTACTTCCATATCTATCAGCAAAACATTTCTCCAGAAAACAGACATCTGTTCACTATCGCCAGAAACCATTGTAAAAAGGTTTTGTCTGACGCCAAAGCTCGCTATTCCCAGGTCATTAAATCTCGTATCTCATCACAAAAATTAGGCTCTCGAGACTTCTGGAGAATCTTTAACAGTATCAATAATAAGGGCAAATCTGTTATTCCTTCTCTCTTGTATGGTTCAGACTTTGTCACCTCACCTAAAGACAAAGCTGAATTGTTTGCTAAGAACTTTTCATCAATATCATCTCTTGATTCCACTAGTTGCGTTTTACCTGACATAGCCGTCAAACAGGTTGATCCCTTGCTTGACATTCGCATCACTTCAGCTTCTGTATCTAAAGTAATTTCCTGCTTAGACTCTTCAACAGCTTGTGGTCCTGACAACATTCCTGTTGTAGTCTTGCAGAGGTGTTCTCCTGAGCTTTCATCCATACTCTCTAAACTATTTAACAAGTGCTTATCAGAGTCTTGTTTTCCATCATGCTGGAAAGCAGCATCTGTTATCCCTATTTTCAAAAATTCCGGAGAGCGATCTGATTCATCTAACTACCGTCCCATTAGTCTTCTTCCTGTCATAAGCAAGGTTTTTGAATCTTTAATCAACAAACACTTAATCTCTCATCTTGAATCAAATAACTTACTTTCTGATCATCAATATGGATTTTGGTCTTCTCATTCTACAGCTGATGTGCTAACAGTAATAACCGATAGGTTTTACCGTGCATTAGATAGAGGTGGAGAGGTTAAGGCTATCGCACTTGACATTTCTAAAGCTTTTGATAAAGTTTGGCATGCTGGTCTTCTCCATAAGCTTTCTTCTTATGGTGTAGCTGGTAACGTCTTTAAGATTATTGAGTCCTTTCTTTCCAATCGTAGTATAAAAGTTGTCCTCGATGGACAACACTCTTCTTCACATCCTGTAACTTCAGGGGTTCCTCAAGGTTCAATCCTTGGCCCTATACTCTTTTTAATTTACATTAACAATCTTCCAGATATTCTCACATCTAAGGTGGCATTATTCGCCGACGACACTACCATTTACTCTTGTCATGATAAGAAGCCTACACTCTCTGATTGCTTGGAGGGGGTATCTGAGCTTGAAAAGGATCTCACTTCTGCTACAGCATGGGGCTCACAGTGGCTGGTGAACTTTAATTCAGATAAAACTCAATTTTATTCGGCCAATCGTTATCGTAATAATTTAGATCTTCCTATATTTATGAATGGTAATGTACTAGATGAGTCATCTACCATTCATCTTCTAGGATTAACTCTTACTTCTAATCTTTCTTTTAAACCGTATATCAAATCCATTGCAAAATTAGCATCTGCTAAGGTTGCATCTCTTTATCGAGCTCGACACTTTCTTACTCCAGATTCTATTCTCTATCTCTATAAATCTCAAATCCGTCCCTGTATGGAATACTGTTGCCACATCTGGGGCGGATCTTCTAATGATGCTCTTTCTCTTTTAGACAAGGTGCAAAAACGAATTGTAAACATAGTTGGACCTGCTCTGGCAGCCAATCTCCAACCTTTGTCACATCGTCGTAATGTTGCTTCTCTTTCTCTTTTCTACAAATACTATAATAGGCACTGCTCTAAAGAGCTAGCGTCCCTTGTGCCATCTACTAAAATTCATTCTCGTGTTACTCGCCATTCAATTAAGTCTCATCCTTTTTCTGTGACTGTTCCTAAGTGCTTCAAAAACTCTTATTCTTCTAGTTTTTTTCCTCGAACATCAGTTCTTTGGAATTCGCTTCCTTCATCTTGCTTTCCTGATTCATATAATTTGCAATCTTTTAAGTCATCAGTCAATCGTTATCTTGCTCTACAGATTTAGTCTTTTCTCTTCCAGTAACTTCCAACTCTTATAGTAATTGCTTGCAGCCTTGTTGGAAGTGAAGATGTTAAAAAAAAAAAAAAAAAAAAAAATTCTGACTTATCCCAATCTTTGCAACCGCTTCACACTTATGATAATTCGCAGTTATGCCAGTTCGTACATATTCAATCTTTGCAAATTTTTTTGGCAAACTTATGCCGATTTGCACTTATGCCAGTTTTTGCAACTGCATTGCACTATGCTAGGTCACACTAATGAAATTTGCACTTATTCAGCCTCCCAATAAAATAGACAATCGTATAACTGATATTCCCATTAA